AGTGAATGTGGAACTGTACTGTTTAAAACCTGTTCTTCAAGTATTGGAACGATATAATTTAGTGAATGTGGAACTGTACTGTTTAAAACCTGTTCTTCAAGTATTGGAACGATATAATTTAGTGAATGTGGAACAATCGGTACTGTTTAAAACCTGTTCTTCAAGTATTGGAATAATATAATTTAGTGAATGTGGAACAATCGGTACTGTTTAAAACGCTCTTGAATTATTAACGTTAAAAATCAAGAATGTCCAGGGGAAATTGACACAAAACAGTGACGCCCCCTCATCTTACAGGGAAGGACTCCCCCATTAAACAGCCAGATCTGAGGAGGGGGCCTCAGGGGGGGGGGGTAATGTTCTAAACCAGGATATTATAGCAAACCTAATAAACATAAACAATGCATTCAAATGAAACAAAATGCATCTAAATGCATTCTAATAAAAGAGCACAATGATCAAGGGGGCATGGCTAGGGTCCTGGGGGACAATGCCCTGGCCCCCATCAAATTTACATTTTTGTATTTAAATCAACAGATGGCCCAAGGGGGGAGGATTAAAGTGGTAGTGGGGGAGGCAGATAATCTGAGATAAGCGGTTATTTTTAGCTGTTCCGCCTCTTATATTTATGTAAACAAATTCTCGAAGATGTCAGTGAATCAGACCATTATACCCATATTTACATTATGAAGTGTGTGTACAAAGAACTGGAAAAAGAAAAAGTTTTTCCTAAAAACATCATAAAAATCTCTAAAAAAATATCTTAAGCAGTTTTGGTTTTCTTAGTTTTTAAACTATAAAAAAAAATAACGAGATGTTTTTATCAAATTTAATTAATGACATTTTACTTTAAAAAATTAATTCAACAGTGAGGTTTTTTGTAAGCGTTTCAGCTGAAAAATGTGAAATTTTTTACATAGAAACTAGGTTGGAAACACAGCGTTGCCCAGAGTCATAGTTAGTCCCACTGTTTACCCGCTCTTTGTTATAAATTATGGCTTTAGATATTTTTACCTATTTAAGTCGACCCACTCAAAGTAAAATCTCAAATCCAAGTTAAAAACATTCCCTTGGTTCTCCCGAGCTCTCAAATCAAAATTTGAGGCAATTTTGTCCAAGGGTTCATGAGTTATAATTGGACATCCAAACAAACAGACAAACAGTTGTAATAAATATTGTAATAAATCCCATAATTATTGTACCTTAACACAGAATGCTATATACTTTGGAGAAAAAAACTCAGCGGGAGCGGTTGAACCAGCGGTTGAGATCTAGCCTAGACTCTACGCAGTTCAGAATAAGAAATGCTAAATCTTAAAAAATCTGCCAGTCTTAATNCTGTCTAAAATAGCGTAGACGGCTTTTACGCCTTTATAGTCTAACATAAAAGCATTTTTATAATAAATACAAAAAAAGGTTTGTTGTTGAAAACAAAAAAGTTGCTGAAAAATCTGAAAACAGTTGAAAGCAAAAAAGTTTCTGAAAAATCTTAAAATTAGCGGTTGAAAGTTAAATAGTTGCAAAAAATCTTTAAACCAGCGGTTGAAAGCAAAAAAATTGCTGAAATATCTTGAAACCAGCAGTTGAAAGTAAAAAAGTTCTGAAAAATCTGAAAACCGGCGGTTACAAGCAAAAAAGTTGCTGAAAATTCTTTAAACCAGCAGTTGAAAGCAAAAAAGTTGCTGAAAAATCTTAAAATCAGCGGTTGAAAGTTAAAAAGTTGCCAAATATCTTTAAACCAGCGGTTAAAAGCAAAAAGTTGTTGAAATATCTTTAAACCAGCGGTTGAAAGTAAAAAAATTCTGAAAGATCTGAAAACCGGCGGTTACAAGCAAAAAAGTTGCTGAAAAATCTGAAAAACAGCAGTTGAAATCAAAAAAGTTGCTGAAAAATCTGAAAACAGTTGAAAGCAAAAAAGTTGTTGAAAAATCTTTAAAACAGTGGTTTAAAGCAAAAAGTTGCTTAAAAAGCTGAAAACCAGCAGTTGAAAGCAAAAAAGTTGCTAAAAAATCAGAAAACGTTATTCATGAAAAATTATATTTCATTTGTTAAAAAAATGCGATTTAGCGTTTGAACAAATTGTAAATTTCTTCTTAATTTCTTAATCTGAACTGCGTAGAGTCTAGACTAGATCTCAACCGCTGGTTCAACCGCTCCCGCTGAGTTTTTTTCTCCAAAGTATATAGCATTCCTTAACAAACCTAGATATATTACGTTGTACTTTAATATGCTTGTAAATAACTATGTAAAATCTTTATTGCGATTAATCTAACTACGCTTGTAAATAACAATGTAAAACTTTCAATTACGCTCATAAACTTAACCTGTATCATAGAACTCAAAATAAAAGTTAGTTGGAATAAAACTCTGCTTAATTACGATACTAGAGTAATTGTTCCTCATTTAGCGAAGGAGAGGGACCTGAGTCATATCTTGAAAGATAGATTATTATCATTATTAAAAGACAACCCGTCATTCAGTGAAGTAGGGGTCGGCGCTCCTCTCCTACCTAGACTAGGAAACACAGTGAGTTGTATCTTAAATGTTAGAAAAGCTACTTTCGTAGTTGTATCTTGTAAGACAGATACCTAAGAATATAGAGAGAGTCCTATTCGGATTGATATTGATTAAAGTATTACTGAGGAACCTTGAGATTGAGGTGTATTTGAACGATACACATAAAAGAATACAGAGAGAGTCGCATCCGGATTGACATTGACTAAAGTTTTATTGAGGAACCAGGCGTTCGAGATTGAGTTGTAAGTATCTGTACGATAGATGCTTGAGGATTTAGAAGGTTATACCTGGATTGGTACTGATCGAAAAGCATTTGTTGGAGTACGGCATTTGTTACATTTATTACATCTATGTTTGGTTTTTACCTAAAGCAAGAATTTTAAGCGAGGCTTCCACTGTGAATATACCGAGGAAGTACTGCTCTGTTGCCTCCTAAACAATTTTAGAAATTTAAAAATTTAATTTTAAAACAAATAATTTTAAATTAATTATAAGATACTATTTATCACGTCGACATACTAATAAAAATACAATTTTTTCATAAAATAATAGAAGAAAAAAATGAGTTTTTGCCACAAACTCAGGTTTTCTAATCCCGATATCTATGCAACCTGAATCTGATGCTGTTGACCTTAATGTCAAACTATGATTTCTCTGAGATTAAATAGTCTAAGTTTGAAATATCAAAGGTTTACAGCATCAAGTTGCAATTAGAAAATAAACGATTGGGCAAATTGTAAGGGGAAATTTTTAACAGGGATGTTTTTTTTGTATTGCTGTCTGTCAAATTTTAAAAAGCTATAATGACTGTTTACTTGTTTTTAATTTTGTTGCAAATTTGCAAATTATTAAATCATGAGCAGAATAATAAAATAGAATATTATTCGAAAATCAAAATTCAACAATTCTGTGATTGAATTATGTGAAAAGTTTTTTAAAAAATTTATTTTCATTTAAACATGAAGATTTTTTATAAACACTGCATCCAACTTTTTAACATGATATACTTTAACAAGTTTTCATGATTCGAAAATTAAAAGTTAAAACTAACATAGAGTGGAAATATTTATCTTTTAAACTTTGACAAAATCAACTGAGAAAATTTTCTTTCTGAACCACAAAGTCAGTTTGATATGGTAAATGCTAGGGCTGGGCGCTGTTCTTGGGGAACGATCGTTCTATCACGGGAACGAAAAGAACTGAACGATTTAAAAAAAAAAGTAGGAAGGCAAGGCCTAGGCATCGTTCCTGTGTATTAATCATTCATTAACAGGAACGAATGGAACGGAATTGAACGAAACGGAAAGATTAAAAATAAATAGAAACAACCCCCAGCCATAGCAAGAAAATATTTTCGTGTGATTCTTCAAATATTCCCATTGTTGGAAGAACAAACGCCACTAAGCTCAAAGATGTTCCTAAAACCCAGAATTATCAAAACTTGTAGCGAATATTTCTCCTTAGTTTTGAACATCTCATTAAATATCTATTGTCTTAAATATTCTTGAAAATAAGCTGTTTCAGACCATTTTTCAATTTCAAAGTAAAAATAAGCATTTGCACAATTCAACGGAACGCACTGTACTTTTCCTTTCCATCTTTTATAGATAATAACGTTGCAGCTTGCAGCTAAACTTGGATAATTCTTGAGATAAAGATAATAGTTTAAAGATCCTAATCCTTACCTTTGCAACCTGATATTATTTCTAACTTTTCAAAATTTAGCAGAACTCATAATTTGAAATGACTCAGAGGTTGTAATTCTCATAAATCCCTTTTTAACAATCTTTGTGGTTTGCTGCAAAACTTGATTTCCTTCTTATTTCCATCTTATTATATTAGGAATGAGGACAAATTGATCAATTTATTTATTTTAATTTGTAAAAAAAGAGCCATAATTTTATTTACAGTTTCCGAGTTCTATGTGTGTGTCCCATCATGCATTTTATATTTATACTGATAACATTTTTGATATATTATTTGTTTGTGTACAGGCCCCAGGCCAATTTTTGACCAAAGCATAGATGCTGGTGCCAAGCATCACAGGTTTATTCTTGGAGCCAACATGACAATGTGAATACATGAATAAATGAATACAGGAAAAGGTTTAGAATTCATTTTATTGTGTTCAAGCTGTTAAACAGTTTTACAAGTGTTATAATCCTAAAACGGTGTTTTCACTGAATATTATTAAAATCTTTTTTTAGGAGTCAAATTTTTTTATTTAAGTGCATTTTCAAAATAAATGAAGGGCCTTTTTTATTCTACTGGTTATTTTTTGTTGGGCGCAAAACTTCTTAATTTTAGAGTAATATCTTTAAAAAAATAGCGGCATTTTTTTTTAGATAGAGCTGTAAATTTTAAAGTTGGGTGTATTTATCTAGGTGCAAAATTAAAATAATTGGTGGCATTCTAAAAAACTAAAGGTTACAAATGATGAAAAAGTGGACTTTAAGTCTGGTGGGAGAATTTGAATAAGAATGTGTGAGTGTAATTTTAAAAATCCAATTTGGGGGAATTTTTCAAAGAAACTGCAAAAATAAATAGAATCTGAGCTTATATTGAAAAATTTTATAGTGGAATTTGACTTTGTTTTGAGAGTTGGAGGCATAAATGAGTGTGGGTTTAAAATAAAAATAATTGTGGCGGCATATTTTTTCAAATTTTCCAGAAAATTAGCTATTTGTGGAGCTATATGGAACCCTGTTAAGGACTTCTTCCGCCCCCCTAGTTGCGCGTCTGTAGTGAGTATAGTGTATATTTTACAATAAATTTTCTGTATATATATTTAAACTTTACAGCCCGTCAGAAAAATGCTTATTAAATTGCTTCAGCTTTTATCATATGGTTGCAATTTGACTTTTTTAATTTAAGCAGTATTTAAGATTTATAGCACAAAAATTAGGGTAGTTTAAAGTTTGTAAAAAATTAATTTAGACTTTGTGCAAAGTAGAAGAAAACTTTTCTTTGCTTCAATCACATCTGTATATTTTGAAAAGTTAGAATAACATATATCAAAGACACTGATTGACTTCCTATATCAATCTCTATTTGCAACCTGATGATAAAAAACGTTGAATAATTAAAAGTTTGATTGTTTGATTCAGCTGAATTATAGAAAACATAAAAGGTTTATAATATTTTGAAACCCTCTCATGAAACCATGATGAAACTGTTACAACTTCCTTTATGCTACAAAAGTGATTCATACATCCAAAAATTGCAGCTCTAAATATACAAAGATGTATGTTTATAATAAACATATATTATGCAACTTCTGGTAGACATGTTATCCATCTTCTATCTTCTATCTTATATTTACACAATCTTTATATTGGCTCAGTATAAGTCTTCATGGCTGGAAATTAATATAGTTTGTTTTTATCTTACTGACAGAAACTATCTCAAGATCTGATGAGGGTCAACCTAGACCTAAATATGTTTTCAAAACATCTCCTTTTTTCTCTCTACAGATGTTTGGTCCATCACCATCACCGACATTTTTAATACAGTGATACCCATTAAACAATTGACAAATTGTCGTTTTTCTTTGTCTTTTTATTACATTTCATTTCAAATACCACTAGAGATTTTGTACGTGAAATATTTATATCTAAGAACTAGCTTGGGAAACCAGCTTTGCATGGCAGAATTGTCATAATAAGAGTATTTTTGGAGACCCTCTTTCATCGGAGACCCCATAGGTTCATTGGAAATCCCGAGCTTTTTATCTAAGATCCCCATATATACATTGGCGACCCTGGGGGGTCACCGATAATACTCTAATGATAATGAATTCTTTCTTATAGCAGAGATCCATTATGCAATTTTTTACTCCAATGCAACTTAAGAATTTTCCCGCGAATATGATATTTATAAGAGTTTAAATGATTTTTTAATGAAAAATATTGCCTTTATTTGTGCAGAAGATTTTCTTGTGTAAAATTCAACTTTCTCCAAGAATTACATTAAAACTGATAGTTCCTTCTTTTCTTAAGAGTTTCAAGGTTGTTTTCAACATACATTTTAGAGAAAAGAATATCTTAAAGGAAGTTCGTTTAATGCACAGCAAACTATCAGGTCCTACCTAGACTTGGTAGCTCTGTCCTAATATGGTAGTTTTTCCCAAATCTTGGTAGCTTTGTCCTAATATAAATAGCTTTGTCCGAATAATAATAACTTTGTTCTAACTTTGGTAGCTTAGTCCTAATATAGATAGCCTACTCCTAATAATTGTACCTTTTTCTTAATATTGGTAGCTTTGTTCTAATATTTGTCCTTATAATTAGTCCGTATTTTGTTGGCAGAAGGAGAAGAAGAAGAAGAAGAAGAAGAAGAAGAAGAAGAAGAAAATGAAGAAGA